ATTCCACCTATGAATCAGAAATGACTTGGGAGTGGAAGGGTAACAGAAGGGAAACCTCTGAAGAAAGCCCTGTAAAGCTTTCTGACTATCCCATGAATAGTCACATCAGCTGAACTCTGGACCTAATGCAACTAGGAAAAGGTTTCTAGTTCTTAAAGCTATGCCTAAAACGGTAAAAATGACTGAGTTGGTGGCAGTTGCCTTCAGATAAAAAACTTGACACAGAGAAGGCAGATGAGAGTGAGTGATTCTGAAACTGGAAGAAGAGACATATATTTTCAGTTCAGGGGATAGATAGCTCAGCTGCTTGAAATGAAGCTTCCAGCACTAAGTGGACTCTAGCCTGCAGTATTACTCATAACAGAAAGAAGGTCATCTTGGTGAAGTTCTGGTTGTGAAATATTTAGAATGACAGCGGATTCACGACCCTGCTCAGAGTTTTTGCCATGGCTTATCGGTATCATATGTGAGGAGGGCTGGTCTTATCAACTTTATGCCCATGCATAAGCAATCTAGGTCTGCACCTTTGCTGCTACATTTGAAATGTTGAGCCACTGACACTAAGTGCTTGAGATTCATGTCCTGTGCACAGCTGTGGCTCCCGTGTCCATGTTGAAGCTGCAGTGGCAAGGACATAGAAACTCCATGGAGCATCTGGAGAAAAGGCTAAATGGGAACAGCCATGGCAGAGCAACAGAGCTTCACAAAGGGAGAGAGGGCAGAAGGTTCACTCCTCGGCCTTTCCTGGCTTCTTGCATGGCCTGTGCCCCTCACAGCAGCAATCTCATAGCAAACACTAAGAATCCTTTTACTTGGTTTACTGCAAGTAGAGTGTACCTGCAGTGAATGCAGATACAGAAAATGCAGAAAATGCAGAAAAACAAATACTAGGAGAGCTGACCAAGTTCTATAGAAAATGTCTTTCAGTTGGCAAAATATAGAAAAGCTCTGTTCTGATGTTTCAAAAATGAGTAAGATTGACATGAATTTCAGCTAAAATTCTAAATTAGACACTGGAAGTAATTTTTAGCAAACACAAGGAAATTGTAATTATACTAGAAGACCATTTCTGTGAAGAAGACAACAGTATCATTTCCTCTTGACAACAAAGTCAGGGGCCCATGAGCAGAAAATTATGAACAATCATCTATGGTATATGAAGAAGTGTCACAGCCAATGGCACTGACTTGAGGTCCAGTGCCTGCTGTTCAGCCTGCCTGCCTCCTTGTGTTATTATTTTTAGCTATGGGAAACCCACATCTCCATAACTTTTTAAACCTGTAAAATGGGTACATTGTTTCCTGTGTTACCTATCTGTAATATATGTTTAGTTAATATTAACTAGTATTATAACTCGTATGTTTAAATAGCAATATCCCCCAAATATTCAACAGTAGATCCATTTAAACTAAAACCAATGTATGAGAGTATTTGAAATAGATGTCATTTTGTGTGAATTTTTTACTGATTATTTTCAAAAAAGTTGTATGCCCTAAGTAATGGATAATTAATAATGTTCTAAGGATAAGAAAATATGTATTTAAGGGGATAATGCCTTTTGGGACTTCTTTAAACTATATGAGCTAAGGTGAATAAGATTTATAAGCCATAAAGCTTATTAGCTGTTATAACTCATCCAAGAAGCAACCTGCAGATTACAGCTCTTGACATAACTTGGGTGGTAATAAAGCTCATGCAACAACTACCTGTAATGCCAGCGACAGTTTGGCCAGATAATATACTCAGATAAGTCATCTCTGCTCAAGTTAGGGAGAGGCTCTATCCAATTCTGGGGCCATATTTAGGACCCGCTAGCATGGAAAAGAACACGTAAAAGGGCAATCCCATGAAAGCTTGGTACATGAGGACAGTTAAGGAAATGAAGGGGAGGGTTAAAGAAGAGAGGTCGTAGTCTCACATACTGGTTTGAGGCAAAGAACTCAATCAAACCTTGCTTTCTTCCCGTGAGGTCTACTCACAGCCATCTGTCTCCTGCTAATCCACTGCACGGCCCTGTTCAACCACACTAATATTCCAAGGGACTGTTTCCATCCTCACCTCCCTTGACTATGCTGACTACAATCTCTTACACTTTCCACAATTCCCTCTTTCTTTTTTTCTGTGGAGACAACCCTTTTCTCTGTCCTCTTCTCATCACTCCCATGCCCCTGTTGTCCTAACTCCTGCCAGGGGCATTTACTCCTCAGTGGGCCACATCTGCCTGTATCCTTAGCCACCTACTAAAACTGTCTTCCTAATGGGGACAAAAATGGAGGTGAAGAAGTGAAATCAAGTTAGGAAAAAAAGACCGAATCCTTGAGAATGACTTCACATAGCTGCATGGGTGATGTTCAGCTTCTCTAAACAAGCGATGTGTACTCCAACTGAGATCCTAGTTCTAAGCCTGGTGTGTTTTGGTTTGGCCAGAGGATAAAACAATAAAGCGTAGGTTCATTTTCCAGTGAGGTGTGGGTTGGGCCTAATCCAGTCTTTTTATATTTTCAGTTTTATTAATTCAAAATAACTAATTTCTGGCCCCAGTAATTATCACTCATTGGGGAGTTGGCTAAGTCACTTGAAGAAAAAGAAAAAGAAAAAAAAAAAAAAAAACAAATCTTTAGCTAGAGGTTATTAAAATAATGTAAGCTAGTGGCTTTTTTCTCCTTAAATGGCTATGTTTTTAAATTTTCCATCATGGATCAGCCTCTGCAGTTATGCTTTGGTCTTGTCCCTTGGCTTATACCAACGGAAAAAAATCTCTTCCCTCTGGCACTAGTGTCATTCTTTGGAAGGCTTTTCTGAACTTCTGGTTCTGAGTCTGTATTTCTGCACTTTCACAATCAATGTTGCACAAGGGAAGTGGCGTGCCTGGCGCGTGACAGGCACACCATCACAAGGGGCTCGTGTTGTGGTAGAACTGTATTGAAAGTGTAGGAATTTTCAAAGAGATTAGTGTGGAGTTCAGTTCTGCCTCATAAATTAATTAATTCAGTTCTTTCTCTATCATCAGACTGTAGCTGACATACGGCTGTGACAATTTATCCCCAGTTTCTCAAACTTGTGCAAAGTCTCAGTGAAAAGTAAGGACTTAATGAAAGTTACTGCAGACACCTGACACTTCAAGAAGTCAGGATGGCATGAGCATCCTAACTAGTAAAACTTGCTATTTAACCATGAGTAAAATCTCATATGTGAAGAAAAGTATAAACAGAATAGTATATAAACAGAATAGTTTCTGACTCGAGGGGAAGAGGACCCTAAGACCATTGACAAGCTAGCCATGGTGATGCATGCCTGTAACCCCAGCAGTTTGGGAGGTAGAGGCAATAGAAACAGGCTCTCTAGGCAAACCTTGGTTATACAGCAAGTTTGAGGCTAACCTGACCTACAACAGGAGACTCAGTTTCCAAAACCTGACAGTCAAACAATAACAAACACCATTCCAGTTTCACGCTTGTAAATTTGCTGGGTAGTGCATAATATGTTCTTAGGTAGCATGTACAGCTTTTTCATGTGTGAATACTATTTCTACATGCTGTTGTTTCTACATACACAATGAGGGATGTTAGATGTTTGCTTGTTGCTCTCTTTTTTATTGAGACAGAATCTTATTACTATTTTCCAGGTTGGCCTCAGGCTGACAATACTCCTGCCTCAGCCTCCCAAGCGCTGAGCTCACAGGTATGCAGCACTGCAGCTGGATGAAGTTCTGGTGATTTTCATTGCAGTTATTATTGTTAATCCAAAAGAATTCCTCCCCAAACAAAAGAATCTTCTCACAGTCATGACTTCAAGCAAAAGTCTCTCAAAGACAAGATGTTCTGTCTTTTTGTGTTGAAAGCTAATGCAGTACTTAGAAAAGGCATGGTGATCTCAGACAACAGTTATAGTCTTTTAGTAAAATGGTGAACAAGAATTAAGGAAAGTTTGTAAAGATTGTTTTCTCTGGGGATATGGCCTCAGCTGGTAAGCACTGACTCTGTAAGTCTTTGCAAGGAAGACTTCTAAAAATCACCAATCATGTTTCTTTTTTTCAACAGGTATTGAACCTGTTGAACATTGTACATTTCAGGCAAGCACTCTGTCATTCGCTACATCCTCACTAATAATCCTTAAAAACTGCACTAAGACATTGTCATAGAGTTGGTGGAGTGGGTCCTCTAAACTTCAGAAAAGATTTCCAGTGAAAGCCTCAGACATGGACACAGCAGTTGTTAACATAATCATATGTTAACAACACAGACATAAATAAAAGTAATATGTCAGCAGAATCAAAGAGTGATGCCGATAACTATGGAAAAGAGGTGTTATATATATATATGCCAATTGTTTAAATTAAATTGTTGTATCATGCATGAGAATATAAACTAAGACCTAAACTAATATTTTCATAATATAAGTGAATATTAATATTAAATAAAGTGTCTTCCTAACTTACATAATCCTAAAAGTTGCATATATAAGTCATCAGAACAATTTTCTTAAATTAAATTTCCCATAACAAAAATAACAGATTAGCTCATATTCTATAGTATCTCATATTCTATATTGTTTCATAGACTATATTTAACTACATTTAATACTAAAGCAACCTTTATTGCATAAGATTGCATAAATGAACTAGAATAAATTTTTATAGATGGTTCTCTTGTAACAAATAAAGTCTCTATTTTGCAAAAGAAAAATTGACTTAAATGAACTTGAATTTTAAAATATGAAAATAATACTTAATATCAGGAAAATTAGGTATTAAGCATATTCCAACATTTTCTCTTGTAGAGATCAAACATAAATAACTAACAAGATAATAACTTTAAGTTAGGTTAAAATGGCGCAATGTGGGACATAAAACACTCCCATTCATTTAGCATCGGTCGTTGATAAAGTACAGACACAGCACAGGGTTAGGGATTTGACCCTGGAAAGTATGAAGGGCTTCTAGCATTGTTGTTTTCGTTGATATTAACATGGAATCACTTTTTGAGCTTCATAACACTTACCTCTAAATAATCTGTAGAGCAGTTCCTGAAATCTTCCACATCAAATTCCAGGAATGTGTAGTTCACAGTGTTGCCTGTTGTCGCTTGGATGGTCCAGTTACAACGCAGGTTATTATCATAGGGCTTTGGGAAATTTATGCTCTCCAGGATGCCAGAGGTTTTATTCACTATTACTACATTGTCACATGCTGAGGGAGAAAAAAAGTAGCCATAGCTGTTAAGAATTCTCACATATGTCTTAATGTCTCTGAGATGTATGTGAGATCCCTTTTTAAAAGAGATCTAGATTTTTCCACTTTTAGCTGTAGATTAATAAATATATATGTATATGTGGTATATAATTTTTATGCCGAAGGAGTCTCCATTTAGAATAATGTGAAAGGATACTCAGGTGAATTTAGGCATTGAAGCATCATGAAAGTGGAACAGCTATTAAAATAGACATCTGATTCCTATATATTGGTAAACAAATACTTTGTCTTTGGCCCCGTCTCTCTGCTGGAGTTAGAGGCGTGCAGTGCTCACTCTGTGCATCTGTTTTCTAGCTCTAATATTCAGGAGAACACGCTGACCTTTAAATCCAGCAGCGTGGAATAGAGGTCCTTTGCGAGTGTCACATGAGTCACAGAACACGTCACACAGCTATCTTGCATGAGCTCTCAACAAAGGCCCCTTCACTTCTCAAGTTACTCATCATGAAGTCCCAAGTGAAGAGAGGGAGCACAAGATATGAAATATCACAGGGAGCATTTTCTAAAGATGAGTTTTCAGTGAACCCATACAGGTGGCGCTAGCTAGGTCTAACCCAGGGATTAGACATCAAATCCAGCCAATCGAAACGACCTGAACAATGTGAATGTGGTACCTTTTCATTGGTTATGCATTTAAAATTATTTTCCATTTCTCTATCATGACCAATAAAAGAAAACGAGAAAATAAACGTTGCTTTTTAAAGAGTTGCCTCTGCAATGTGGCTCCTAGATAATTTTCTAGGCAACACTGAATGTCCCCCCACCACTTAGAGACGTGGGGATATATCCTTTGGCCCTTCAAATTCTCTTCCTTTGCTGCAGCAAACACAATAACCAAGTATATTCTCCTGAAAATCTTTAGGCTACATTTTTGTTAAGAGAGGATTTCTAAGTAATGTTTTTTGCTTTAGAAATGTGGGTGAGTATGTCTACAGGTAGCAAGTGTCACAGGCCAGTGACTAGGTCAAAGCAACACAGGTGCCTGTAGTCCAAACCCACAGCTGGTGCTCGCATCTCACAAATCACTGTCTGCAGGTTTCCAACTTCAAATGGCAAGGGAATTTTTTTGGGGGGACACTCAAGTAGCACAGGCTACGAACAAACTAGCCACATAGTTAAGGACGGCCTTGAACTTCTGATCTTCCTGCCTCTACTTTTCAAATACTGGGATCGTTCATACATGCCTTCACACTTAGTTGTGTGAAGTGCTAGGGATGGAGGACAGAACTTCACGCTAGGCCAACTGATCCAGCCCCTGGTTCTCCCCATAAGGACTGATAGCCTGTGTATAAAACCATTAGAGGGGGAAAAAATCAAAGGAAAATGGTTTTAATAGCCTGATAATAACCAAGAGAAAGACAGGCAAAGCAATAACAAAACTCAAGGAATGACACTCAGTTAAACAGATATGCTCTTCACGGAGTGTTAAGAAGCAGTTTGCAAATAAAATAATGATTTCATGAAGAACTCCGTATGCCAGACGAAGCAGGAGGACAAGAAAGAGGCCAGAAGGACATGCTCCACAGTAAAGAACATATCTTGTCCATGCGTGCCTCTTTAGTTAATAAAGCTAAGGCAGAGGGCAGAACTAACTGTTGACTAGGCCAGCATCTCACTAAAGCATTGGAAGTGTGGCATGCCTGAGAACCACAAGTCACCAGCGTGTTACATGATCCTGAGCTGGCCTGCAGCTGTCTCCACATAATAAAAACTGTCCCGAGTTTCTTGGTTTACCAGATGCTCTAGTAATAGGAGGTTGGATTTAATATGTAAGCATTTTTCCTTCTAGTGACTTCAGAGTTTTTCACCTAAGAATCCAAGACTAATTTCAATGACACAGACCACTAACTAGTTAATGTTATCTGGGTGGTTTCACCAAGTCTGCAGATCTGCCGGGGGCTCTCTGCTGCTGGAGTTTGTACTTACTCTGCCAGTATTTGATCTCAAAGCCACGTCCTTGTTGACCTTCATCTGTCCTCAATTTCAACAACACGCTGTCTGTACTGGAACGGATGGGAGCAGGTATTGTATCCCCACAGAGTTTATTCACCAGATGGGAGCCGGTACTCGGACCATCATACACCTTTAGTAAGACATTTTGCACATCAGATAGTCAAGACTATGAATGTGAAGAAATAAGGACAAAATACATATATTCTTTTTAAATGACCAGTCCTAAATTTTATCAAGTGTCTCAAAACTTAGGCAATAAACTGAAGTGTATGAAAGCAAGCACATGAAAGTCTGAATATGCAAAATGAAAGTTCTATACAAAATTTGAGACCATAACTGGTAAGTATTGTTGTTTTTTGATTCCAAAGGAACATGGTGAATTCCAGAAACTATAAAAAGACATAGCTAGATGAGTTTAATACCTCTTCTAATTCACCTCAATAGTCTAGTGAATTGTGAGGTTTCAACCCATATCTAAAATCATGTAGATTATGGTTAGGATAATGTCCATAGCTACTCAAGATATTTTAACTATATTTTATAGCTAATAGTAAAATACCTTAAATACTTCATGTACCACATCATTCAGCATATATTACACTTAGAAGATTGCCATTTTTATCACATTTCTTTAGCGTTTTACTTTGTTTAAATCTTTTATGTGAATGCTCTTCTTAAATATTGCTGCTTTTTGAATCTTAAAAATATTTTAAACTTATTTTGTGCACTGAATAAGAGGGGAGCAACAAAGGATATAGAGACTCGTTATACATACGGCCAAGTAATCCAGAGAGCAGCTGGGGTGATGCTCCAGGTGGAAGTCTTGGAATTCCAGCTGGAAAGGGCTGCCTTGGCTGGCTTTCAGCCACCAGTAGCATTCAGAGCTATGGTAATAGGGCATCGGGTAGTTGGGGGATGTGAGCACCCCTGTGGGGGTGGTGAGATTGCTTCCACAGCCTACAGGGGAGAAACGGTGAATGAAGCATGGCCTTTTTTTCTGCAGGCTAAACCTTGGCTAATGGCATCCTGTTTCCATTCTGCTCTTCTTTGGACGTGCACTTCCCCAGCGTCAGGGCTGAAGCCTGAGGCCTCACACATGCTAAGCAAGAGCTCTACCACTCAGCTGCACACCTACAGCCTTTGGGTTTCAGAGACAAGAACTCACTATATAGTCCAGGCTTGCCTCAAAGTTGAGATCCTCCTGCCTCTGCCTGCTGGGTCTGGGATTATAAAGGTTCACCGCCGCCCCCCCCCCCCCAACCTGTTCCTTTTTAAAGTATCACAAAGCAGGAAATCGTCAAAAATTCTGCTTCATGTTGATGAAATTTAATTTTTCTAGTCAAGATGAGTAGCTTGAAGTTTCCTGGGGAGATAGAACTTTCCTCTTCCTTCAAAATGTATGCTACTATTAGTCCAAAGATATCCATGATGTTGGAGCTTATTATAAAGAATGAGGAAAGATAAGTAGAAAAGCTGATAAGTGGTGGCAAAGCATGATGAATGAAGAACCCAATCACCTTGGCTTCTCCAGTAAAAAGTCAGCTTTGCTACCTACCTGTTGACGATCCATCCCAGTAAGCTGAGAAACCCCTTTCGGTAAGCGCTGGGTCACTCTTAAACTTTAGCCAGAGCTTGTTACTGTGAGAGATGATCTGAGGAGGTAAAACTGAGCCACAGTAACGTCCAAGGAGTTTTGAAGTTTCGTAGCCTCCATCTCTGTGACACGTACAGACATGAAAATGGGCTGGGTTACAATTTGACTGTAGCATACAATAAACACACATGTTTAAAGCATGAAGATGCAAATGAGCTGCTAATTACCTCCGCTAGCATCTCCTGAACAGTACTTAAAAAGCAGTTTCAAGTTCTCATGTTTTAGTTCTTTACTGACAAGGATTTGAATGATTTAGTAAAGGAATAACATATTATGGCTTGTATGGCCTTTTTATACTAGCTGCAGAGAGAATGCATTAGAGATTTTCCTTTCAAAGGCTCTGGCAAGTAGCTCAAAGGATATAAAACATAGAAACCACTTTTATTCACAGTATAAACCAATGTTTTAAATTTTTAGAGAGAAATCATATTTCCTACTGATTTTGAAATCTTCAAGATGTGGTGTAACATATTTGAGACATTTGTAGAAATAATTATTTTCCTAAGTTTAAATATATAGGTAATTTATAAAGAGATGCTTCATTGAATGTTAAAGCCAAGTGGTTGGTTCTTACAAATTAAGAAAATTCATCTAGAAAAGCTCACACTATAGTCATAATACTCAGTAGGTGACTCAGGATGATGTCGGTAAGTTTGAAGACAGCCTAGACTATATAGTGAATTCTTGACCATCTCAGGCTATAGAAAGAGACTCTTAAACTTCTCCCCTCCCTCAAAATAAAATTGTTGATTTAGCACGACACGGTAGACTCAATTCCAACTTGTTAAATTTGTATCTTACTCTGTCCCAAAGAATAAATATTATAAGGTGTTGAAAGATTCCAAGTTTAAAATCATGAGTAAATATTTGATATAGATGCGTGTCGGAATAATCAGCCGAATTTTACTTGACGTAATAATATAAGAAAATATCTATATACTAATGTACCATTGCCAGTGACATAATTGTTAAAACACATTCTTCCAAAGTGCAGTGAAAGAAAATGCCATGCACTGAAATCCACACACCAGATTTCCATTATTTAAGAACAAGGTAAGCTTGCTGCTATAGCCGTGACTTTAGTGATATAATTAGATTGAATGGACAGCAAAGACCAAAAACTTAGGCTGATTTTTATATAAAGAATGAAAGTACTTGAATGTGGTGGTAGGTATGGATTATCAACTTGACACAACCAGAATCACCTGGAAAAGAAATCTCAATGAAGCGACTGGGCTGGCCTGTGGCCATGAAAGGGTGTTGTCTTAAGTTAATCAGCATAGGAAAAGAAATCAGCCGACTGTATGTGCCATCTTTCCCTAGGCAGGGTTCTCAGACTATATGAGAGTGGAGAAATAGAGCTGGACATGGGTAATGAAGTAAGCTAGCTAGACACGTGCACACATTCATTTCCTTTTGCTCTTGACGATAGACGTGATGTGACTAGCCTGAGGTCCTGGCACCTTGCTCACCTGCTACGACAGACTGTCACCTGATTTATGTGAAACAATAAACCACTTTCCTTAAGTTTCTTTTTGTCACCACATTTTGGAGTAGTTGTACAGTTGTTTCTTTTGCCTAAATAAAATCTGAAAATTATTGTAAAATATTCCTAATAAAAGAATTTTAAATAGCTACCAGAGGCTGAATATGGCTGAATGGCCCAGCAGTTAAAACTCCTTACTGATCCTACAAAGGACCAGAGTTTGATTCCCAGTATACACGATGGGTGGCTCACAAGCAGCTCTAACTCCAGAGGGCACAACATTTTCTCTTGGCCTTCACAGGCGCTGCACTTATATGCATACAGCCATATTCACACATGTGCATATAAACATGCATCTTCACACATGTGCATATCAACATAGTTTAAATCAAGACAGTAAAATCTTAAAGACCCACCAAATCTTACACAATTTCTCCTTTTCTTCTATATCATGTTTGTATGATTTTTTATTGTTTTTTTGTTTTTGTTTTTGTTTTTGTTTTTTTCGAGATAGTTTCTGTGTAGCCTCAGCTGACTTGGACTCATTCTGTAGACCAGGCTGGCCTTGAACTCACAGGCCAGCCTTTGTCTCCCCAAGTGCTGTATATCATATTTAAAATGACAAATTTTATATTTCATAACAAAGAATACTTAAGGTAATTTTACAGAAGTTTCCATGTTCCTTTAATCATTTTGGAGAAGACTATTAATGAAAATAAATGTTTTAATGAAATAAAAGCACACACCTGATTTCCACAAAATCTGCACACTCTGACCCAAAGTAATCCTCCAAGTCGAAGTCTGTGAAATGCAATGCAATCTGATGGTTGATACCCACTGTGATCCTGTAGATGCATTCCCAGTTATTGGGGTAGTTATTAGGGAAGTTTGGGGAGGTGAGCCTTCCAAAATTATCTGTATAGTCTTCTAAGCACACTGTGAAAAGAAACAAAGAGAAAAATGGAAAACATTACACATTTGCATGTTTCTAGTAACTTGTAATGCATTAATTTGTGCCCCTGTACTTGAATTTCAGCAGTATTTTTTTTAATGTTCAAAGACTAATTTCATTTTGAAACAATATTTTTTAATTTCAGATGTAACCAAATACTAAATCTTAATGTCACATATATTTTGACAGTTTGGGTCCTAGGAACATTACAATCCATGTAAATTTCCATAGGCATTAAAGTTAGGTTAAACTACACAGATACCAGAAGACTTAGAAATAACTCAGTTTTGTACTTCTCATTATAACTTCCCTTTATAAATGTGCATTCATGAGAAATGACAGGTAGAGAGAGGTCTTGACCATGGAGGAAGAATGGGAGGCCAGAGCTTGTGGTGGTAGGGCACACCTACAGTTGACCCTTCAAGAAAAGCCTGTCTCAAGTACGGACAGACTATGCCTTGCCATTCATGTGTGGCAATAGTCACCATTGTACTTCAAAACAGAGTAGGCCTAAGAAAAGCATAATTGTGAGGAGTAAGTTTCACTATTCCCATGAAGTGATTAGCAGCCTATCTGGATGCTGCATCCTAAGTAAAGACCAACTGCTCCGGTTTGTTTGAACTTTGCCTGTTCAGTCTCTTCAGATTCTGTTCAATAACCAGTCCATCACTCCCTTATGCCCTTATAGTCTGAGATGTCTGACAAAAAAAAAAAAAAAAAGGCTAGCTTGACTGTGCTATTCTTCTGGCTGCAAATTTCATCTAGTCCTGACCTAAATCTAGGGCCCTGGAGTAGACAGAATCCCCGACTGAAGGCTGTAGGGGAGAATGAGCTGTTACATATACCTTATTGCTAGTGAAATAAATGCTGAGGACATGTAGCTTTATTGTTATTGGTTTTGAAAACACAAATGTAATAGGCTCAACTGTCTATGTGTGTCTCAGAGAGTAACAAATATTCATCAAATATTTCAGTTGTCTCTAAAAATCAA